CCCACTCCAGGGGAAAGATACTGTAAAATCTCCATTCCCTCCCCACTCCAGGAGAATGATACTGTAAAATCTCCATTCCCTCCCCACTCCTGGGGAAGGATACTATAAAATCTCCAGTCCCTCCTGACTCCACGTGAAAGATACTATAAAATCTCCATTCCCTTCCCACTCCAGGGGAAGGATGGTGTAAAATTCCCATTCCCTCCTGACTCCAGGGGAAGGATGGTGCAAAAGCTCCATTCCCTCCCCACTCCAGGGGAAAGATACTGTAAAATCTCCATTCCCTCCCCACTCCAGGAGAATGATACTGTAAAATCTCCATTCCCTTCCCACTCCAGGGGAAGGATGGCGCAAAATCCCCATTCCCTCCTGACTCCAGGGGAAGGATGGTGCAAAATCTCCATTCCCTCCCCACTCCAGGGGAAAGATACTATAAAATCTCCATTCCCTCCCCACTCCAGGAGAATGATACTGTAAAATCTCCATTCCCTTCCCACTCCAGGGGAAGGATGGCGCAAAATCTCCATTCCCTCCCCACTCCAGGGGAAGGTTGGTGCAAAAGCTCCATTCCCTCCCCACTCCAGGGGAACGATACTGTAAAATCCCCATTCCCTCCCCACTCCTGGGGAAGGATACTATAAAATTCCCATTCCCTCCTGACTCCAGGGGAAGGATGGTGCAAAATCTCCATTCCCTCCCCACTCCAGGGGAAAGATACTATAAAATCTCCATTCCCTCCCCACTCCAGGGGAAGGATGGTGCAAAATCCCCATTCCCTCCCCACTCCAGGGGAAAGATACTGTAAAATCCCCATTCCCTCCTGACTCCAGGGGAAGGATGGTGCAAAATCTCCATTCCCTCCCCACTCCAGGGGAAAGATACTATAAAATCTCCATTCCCTCCCCTCTCCAGGGGAAGGATGGTGCAAAATCCCCATTCCCTCCCCACTCCAGGGGAAAGATACTGTAAAATCTCCATTCCCTCCCCACTCCAGGGGAAGGATACTGCAAAATCACCATTCCCTCCCCACTCCAGGGGAAAGATACTGTAAAATCTCCATTCCCTCCCCACTCCAGGGGAAGGATACTGCAAAATCACCATTTCCTCCCAATCAGCTGGGATTCATGAGGCAGAGAATAGATGGGGGCGGCGCCAGTCAGAGGTAGTATTTAACGGTTTTCTGAACTACTCAAAATTTCCACTGCTGGTTCTCCAGAACTGGTCAGAACCTGCTGATTACCATTTCTGATACCCCCATACAAGACTTTCTCTCTCTTGCTGAGACTTTCTTCTCTCTCTGCTCCCAAGTAGCAGACCGTAGGAGTCAGCTCCTATTAGAGGTCTAAAGCAGGGATGTCCAACCTTGGCACCTTTAAGACCTGTGGACCTCAACTCCAGGAATTCCCCAGCCAGCCATGAAATCCACAGGTCTTCAAGTTGCCAAGTTTGGATGCTCCTGATCTATAGTGATTTCTTGCAAAAAGAGATTGAAATTAGGCCAACATGCTGTCCACATTTGAAAGCTGATTCTCAAGAGAGTTATATATGCATGGAGATGTTTTAGAGTTGCTTGTTTCTAACTATTATTGCAAGTTTGCAAATTAAAACAAGGAAACATACGTAAAATATGAAAAGGGTCAACAGAAGCAAATGACTCAATAGTCTAAGGCAGTCAAGAACCTTCTGCCCTCCACATTCAGAAGCTAAAGAGATTGGGAATTGATGGCAATTTCAATATTTATGGAACAGCTGAGAATGTTTTTGCTCTCCAAGCCAGGAAAAGGGCTCAGATACAGGACAGGGCTGGTGGACTATTACGTTGTGTTTCCTTCAAAAGTATAAATTGCATTTTAAAGAGAATGTTGGTACATTGTACTTAATGGAATCAGAATCTGGAAAAAATGCAAGAATATTATAATGACTTGTAACTGTCAGCCTTCCAAGATAAACTTAACTTGGAAACAAAGACATGCAAGCTAATGCTACTTTTATTACAAGGTAATAGTAAGAGAAGAGGGACATGGTGACTCAGTGGCTAAAATGCTGAGCTGGGCAGTTCAACGGTTCGAATCCCTAGCATCGTGTAACCGAGTGAGCTCCTGTTACTTGTCCCAGCGTCTGCCAACCTAGCAGTTCAAATGCATGTGAAAATGCAAATAGAAAAATAGGAACCACTTTTGGTGGGAAGGTAACCGTTCTGTGTGCCTTCAGCACTTAGTCATGCCAGCCACATGACAACACAGACTCCTTCGGATAGTGCTGGCTCTTCGGCTTTGAAACAGAGATGAACACTGCCCCCTAGAGTCAGGAACGACTAGCACATATGTGCAAAGGGAACCTTTGCCTTTACCTTATAGTAAGAGAATCTTGCAAAAAATTTCCTAGTAGTCACAATTAGCCTGTGGAACATCTGCCTTCAAAAGCTGTGATGCTCCCTCACTTTAAGAAGAGTCTGGACAGCCAATTGTCCAGAATGGTATAAGATCTTCTGCTTGAGCAGGGTTGGACTAGAAGACCTCCAAGCTCCCTTCCAATTCTGTCATTCTGTTAAATCTGATTGCACTTCCTTCTCCTTCATCTTATTTTCATGAAAGTTGGGGGTGTACACGTCTGAGATCCTTTCTCAAATTGCATTCCTGTCCTAGACTCAGATTTCTTTTATCCATCTGTTGTCTTGGTTGTGTCTCTTTCTCCTCAAGATTATTCCTTCTGCCCATTATAGTAATTTGGATAATAAAGGAACGGTAAACTGGTGTAGAGGGATGTGGTGGCTCAGTGGCTAAAATGCTGAGCTTGTCAATCAAAAGGTCGGCAGTTTGGGAGTTCGAATCCCTAGCACTGCATAACGGAGTGAGCTCCAGTTACTTGTCCCAGCTTCTGCCAACCTAACAGTTCGAAAGCATGTAAAAAATGCTAGTAGAAAAATAGGGACCACCTTTGGTGGGAAGGTAACAGCACTCTGTGCACCTTCAACTTCTAGTCATGCCGTCCACATGACTACAGAGACGTCTTTGGACATCTTTGGCTCTTTGGCTTTGAAACAGAGATGTGCACCGCTCCCTAGAGTCAGGAACGACTAGCACATATATGCAAGGGGAACCTTTACCTTTACCTTTCAAACTGGTGTAAGGTACTTCTGAGAATACCTCCTATGGAATATAATGGGATTTCCTTTGGAATAAAATGCAACAATAGAGGTGAGATAGTCTAGATCCCTAAAATATAAGCTATTGTTTGTTTCTCTTACAGAAGATATTGAAAGTCAACTCCCTGACAATTTCTGTGGTGAGGAGACATTTCCAGTTTACGAAGGCATTCTTGACTCTTTTGAAGGAACCGTCCAAAAAATAGCCTTGGAAAAAAATGAAACTTCAGAAGTGGAGATCTACACATGGACAACTAAGAGAGGTGCTGAATTCTTTCTTTTTGCAAGATCAAGGCCGTAAGGAAGAGAGGAAATCAAGCGTTGAGGCATAACGCCCATGGTTGTAACAGCGCTCCCAATATAGAAAGTTTTGGTAGCTGTCTCAAGTGATGATATTATGAAGGCACTGTCCAAAATGAATTGAGTTCAGTTTTTCCACTCAAGTCAGAAGCATGCAGGTGCTTCTAAGTTGAAAGTATTAGCCAGTGATGTCACCATGGGGACACACAGTTGGGGGCCTCCTTTCAGGTCCCCAGCAGGAGCTGGAGTGAAGGATGAGAGCTCAACCCCACACTATGGCATAAACCAGGTCTCAAACCTCTGGGCTTGCTAACCACCTGCCCAGCATTCCAAACATTTGACCAACCATGCCAGAGGTTAAATTCAGCAGGTTCTGGAGAACCAGTAGTGGAAATGTTGAGTAGTTCAGAGAACCAGCAAATACGACCTCTGGCTGGCTGGAGATTTTGCAGTATCCTTTCCCCAAGAGTGGGGAGGGAATGGAGATTTTGCAGTATCCTTCCCCTGGAGTGGGTAGGGAATGGGGATTTTATAGTATCCTTCCCCTGGAGTGTGGAGGGAATGGAGATTTTGCAATATCCTTCTCCCAGGAGTGGGGAGGAAATGGGGATTTTGCAGTATCCTTCCCCTGCCATGCCCACCAACCACACCCACAGAACCGCTAGTTTAAAAAAGTTGAATTTCACCACTGCACTGTACTCCTATTGTGTACAGTTCAAAGCAGTTCCTAACTGCTTGTATTCTTTCAATGGCTTTGCAATAGGTATCCTGATCAAATCTCATAACACCATGCCCATGGAGGAATTCAGACAACTGTCATATTTCCAGCAGATCACAAGGACGACTCTGAGTAAGTAAAAGCTTGCTTTGACATCTCTCAAGTCGAATTCAGACTTTTTGCAAGTACCCACACCTGGAGAACCTGTTCTCACACTCTCAACTTAGTCGCATGAGATAAACTAATCTATGCTGTTATACCGTATGCCATACTTGGTTATCTTACCCTGGCTAGGCCTTTGGGGACTTAGGGTTATGCAAATGGAGCTCCATTGGGTCCATTTAGGGTTCAGTTGATTGTGCAAATTCAGGAAATGAGTGAATTCTGGTCAAACATGCTGTGTGGATAAAGTCAATGGGTGGAATCACCCGTTAAAGAAAGGCACAGCTTTTTTGTATGTTTTACAGAATAAGTCACAGTGGTTAAACAAATAATAATTCACATGGAAAACCAATCACTTAGTGTAAGCTGTATGCAAAGTCCTAGAGTCCCACAACACCTGATCTAACCTTCCTTCTGTCAAAATTAATCAATTAGAATAGAGCTGGAAGAGACCTTGGAGGTCTTCTAGTCCAACCTCCTGCTCAAGTAGGAGACCCTATACCCGGGATGGTGAACCTGTGGCACGCAGAGCCATTTGTTAGGGCACGCGGATTCAGCCTTTTTTAAAGCCATTTTTCGCCCTCCCCAGGCTCCAGAGGCTTTATAGGAGCCTGGGGAGGGGGGAAAAGAGCCTTCCCCTCCCCCCAGAGAATCTCTGGAGGCTTCAGAAGCCTCCGGAGCGCAAAAAAACGGCCCCGTTGGGCAAACAGGAAGTTCGGGAATGGACTTCCGGTTTGCTCGTAGGGTCAGTTTAAGCCCTCCGGAGGCTTCAATGACCTTCAGGAGGTTTCCCTGAAGCCTCCGGAGGGCTTAAACTGACCCTACGAGCAAACCGGAACTTCGAGGGGATGGGGGAGCCTGTTTTCGCCCTCCCAGGCTTCTATAAAGCCTCTGGAGCCTGGGGAGGGCAAAAAAGTATGGAAAAATGGGGGGAGAGCCTCTCATGCATGCATGCGCACAGACGGGGGTCGCGTGTTACATTATGGGTGCAGCACGGCCACGCATGACCCCCCCCTGCACCACCACCACCCCGTTATGGCACACAAGCCAAAACAAGGTTCGCCATCGCTGCCCTATACTGTTTCAGACAAATGACTGTCCAGTCTCTTCTTTAAAACCTCCAGTAATGAAGCACTCACAACCTCTGGTGGCAAGCTGTTTCTCTGGTTAACTGTTCTCACTGTTAGGAAGTTTCTCCTTAATTGCAGCTTGCTTTTCTTGATTAGTTTCCATCCATTGTTTCTTTTCCTGCTCTTGAAAATAAGTTGACCCCCTCCTCTTTGTGGCAACCTCTCAAATACTGGAATACTGTTATCATGTCACCCCTAGTCCCTCTGTTCTCTAGACTGGCTGAACCCAATTCCTGCCACCATTCTTCCTATGTTTCCATCTCCAGGCTTTAATAACCTTGGTTGCTCTTCTCTGCACTCTTTCTAGAGTCTTTTGTAGGGTGGTGAACAAAACTGGATGGAGTACTCTAGTGTGGACTTACTAAATTGTAGAGACTTTCCTGAGACCTAATCTAAGTTCACACAAAATGCACATGATGTGATTTGTTCAATTTTTTAACTGTCCATTCTACAGGATGAACAGTTGGAGGGTCTCAACCAGTGGTGAAATTCCAGGTTGTTTTTACTACCGGTTCTGTGGGCGTGGTTTGGTGGGCATGGCAGGAGAAGGATACTGCAAAATCCCCATTCCCTCCTAATTCAGGAGGCAGAGAATAGATTGGGGGGGGGGGCAGTGCCAGCCAGGGGTGGTATTTATCGGTTCTCCAACTACTCAAAATTTCCGCTACCTATCAGAACCTGCTGAATTTCACCCCTGGTCTCAGCTTTGGTTTATGGTTTACCATGTTTTGCAAACTCAGCGACTTTGGGTTTATTCAATTAACTGTAGTTTAGGCTGATGCTGGAATGAAACTTTCTTTTCAGATAAACGTACGCAGGGCTGCATCCCTAATCTTTTCGTCAGATTAAATGCACTCTTCCCCCCTCCCCCCAAGACATTTGGATTTAATAATTATGGAATGTAACATGGTCAAGAACCGGCACTTGAAACGAATCAGCTGACCTTTTTGGTTTCAAATTACCATTTGGCTGCAGCTAGAAAATTCCAGGACTGCAGCAGCTCTGGAAGAAATTCTCCTCCTCATTTCATTAGTGTGAATCAAGGGGCTGTTTATACAAGCAATTATTCTAGAAAAACAATCGCTTGATTCTTTTTGGCCTCTGATTTGTTCACATGATGGCTGGGGGAGTCAGAATCTGAAGTGGACTGAAAGCTAAGCATTAAAAGGGACGCTCTTTTTCTGCCTGTTTCTTTTTCATTCTCACAACTTTTGAGAAGTCGGACAGACAGACAGACATTTTATTTTGGTCTTTGATCAATAAAAGTATGTTTGGCAAAGCAAGCAAAATGAACCCCCAACATCAATGAGTTTGCAAAACATGGTAAACCATAAACCAATGAACTAGGGCCCAGTGGTGAAATTCATTTTTTTAACTACCTGTGGGTGTGGCTTGGTGGGCGTGGTGTGGCTTGATGGGCATGGCTGGTGGGCATGACAGGGGAAGGATACTGCAAAATCTCTATTCCCTCCCCACTCTGGGGCCAGCCAGAGGTGGTATTTGCCGGTTCTCTGAACTACTCAAAGTTTCTGCTGCCGCTTCTCCAGATCCTGTCAGAACCTGCTGGATTTCACCTCTGCTTTGGCCTGTCTGTCTGCTTCCAGGATATTGTAAATTGAGGGTGGGGAAAATGCGGTGTAGGACAACCCGCTGTCCTTTAGATAGAAGGACAGACACTGACGTTGAAGCGCCAATCCTGTGGCCACTAAATGAGAAGAGAGGACTTCTTGGAAAAGACCCTGATGCTGGGGGAAATGAAAGGCATAAGGAAAAGGGATGGCAGAGGATGGATGTTTGGATGATCTCATTGATGCAATGAATATAAATTTGGGCATAAACAGGGAGATGGTAAGGGATGGCTCAGTGGCTAAGATGTTGAGGTTGTCGATCAGAAAGGTCAGCAGTTCTGCAGTTTGAATCCCTAGTGCTGCATAACGGAGTAAGCTCCTGTTCCTTGTCCCAGCTTCTGTCAACCTAGCAGTTGGAAAGCACGTAAAAATGCAAGTAGAAAAATAGGAACCACCTTTGGTGGGAAGGTAACAGCATTCTGTGCATCTTCAGCATTTAGTCATGCCGGCAACATGACCCTAGAGATATCTTCAGCTCTGGCTCTTCGGCTTAGAAATGGAGATGAGCACTGCCCCCTAGAGTCGGGGACGAGTAGCACATACTATGTGCGAGGGGAACCTTTACCTTTAAGGACATAGTGGAGGACAGGAGGCCTGTGGTGTGCTGTGGTCCATGGGATCACAAAAAGTCAGACGCAACTTAATGACTGAATAACAACATCATCATCAACAACAACAACAACAACAACAGTTGAATTAGAGGATCTGCCATTCTGTTTTCTTCTTTGGCTGCAAGAGAGGACCAGTAAGGCATTTCTCCTTACTCAATCTTCTTTTTGAACTGAAAAATATTCTTCTATGCCTATCATTCTTCTTTTTGCCATGGATGAGAAATAAGAGCTTATTTCTCTTATTGATGATGATGGCTAGTACTTTGGTAAATATAAGAGGAATTTAATTAGCTTTGAAAATAAATACACCAGTATTCCAAAGCTATGTTGGGCATTGATGAACCTGGCACGGGATCTATTCCTTTTGCATTCACCACTTAACTTTTGCTGTTAACAAAACTGATTGCTTCCTACGTGAATCTTTATTTAGGTTGGAATCAAGACATTTTCAGATGCATGAGCCAGTACGGGCCAGATGTTTTTGGAATGTAATGCTGATAGGGAAGGACATGAAAACACGAAACCTCGTTGGTTCAGACCCTCAATGTTTCCAATTATCCTGCTCACCTTCATGCTGTCATTTGCATTTCTCTCTTGGATTTGCTCATTGCATTTTTCCCTCCTGTTTTTTTGTTTGTTTGTTCTAGATAAATGGGAAATATTCAGCGAGGAAGCAGCGCAGGTCAACCACTGTGAAAATCGAGACTGCAGGACTGAACTGGAAGAACTGCTGAAAGTTTTGTACCTTGAGAAATTGGAACAGGAGGGTTGCTGAAGGAAGGTCTGAAGAAGGAAACCGAGAGAAAAAAGATGAATCCGCAGCAGGAACTGCGGGCTTGTTTTGTTTGATGGTACCCTGGAAAGAAAAGAAAGAAAGAAAGAAAGAAAGAAAGAAAGAAAGAAAGAAAGAAAGAAAGGAAAAGAAAGAGAGAGAAAGAAGAAAAGTATTCATCTCATGCCCAGCATATCTTGCTGCTCTGTGCCTAAATCTGTGCTAGTCCTTTTAATATCGCTACTTCAGAAATGGTGGCTCTTTGTCAGTGGTGGGATTCAAATAATTTAACAACCGGTTCTCTGCCCTAATGATCAGCTGGGTAGGTGTGGCTCAGTGGTCATGGACCAAGTGGGTGTGGCCAACACAATGTCACTCATGGTGATGGGCACTTCACCTTAGCTGTTACAGTGTCATAAGGGTTAACCGGAGAGGCAGTTTCTGTAAGCAGGGCAATAAAGTTTAGGCTAGAAACAACACCGGGAAGTTTTCCTTCCTGCCTTCCTTACAGGATTAGCCCTGTAAAGTGGGAAAAAAACAAAAGGAGATTTCTTCCAACAACCCATTCTCCGAGCTGCTTAGAAAATTAACAACCGATTCTTCTGAATAAGTGTGAATTGACTGAATCCCACCATTGCTTCTTTGTTATTGGAAAAAGAGGAAGGAAAGGCATGGATTCCTGCAGAGGTCATTATCTAAAGCCAGGGGTGGAGAGTTAGAGTGGAGGGTTATTTCATATTTTGAAGAGAGACCAAAGGCTTCAGTGGGGAAGTTGCAGATCAGTGGTGAAATTCATAAATTTTTACTACCGGTTCTGTGGGCGTGGCTTGGTGGGCATGGCTTGGTGGGCATGGCAAGAGAAGGATACTGCAAAATCCCCATTCCCTCCCAATCAGCTGAGACTTGGGAGGCATAGAATAGATGGGGGCGGGGCCAGTCAGAGGTAGTATTTGCCGGTTCTCCAAACTACTCAAAATTTCCGCTACTGGTTCTCCAGAACTGGTCAGAACCTGCTGAATACCACCTCTGGTGCAGATATAAAGTGGGTAGAGCCACAGTTGGATGAGATCAAGCTCCTCCTTTTTCCCCTGAGACATTTTTTTCCTACTAACCAGCTTACACAAGAGTTTTTCCAGAAATAAAATAGCAAGAAACATAAAATTACTCTGAGGTATTTCCAAATAGGAGAAAATAAGGTTTCTCTCTCCCTCGCCCCTCTTTGGTAGGTTTAGCGTTGTGAAACTCTTCTGAGGTACAACTACTCAGAGGCATGATGGGAATCAAATCACAAAATCCTTGTTTTCATTTTGAGGCACACAGCTCTCCCATGTCCATTTTCCCATTGTTTTCCCCCATCTTTTTTCTTTCCATGAGAAAAACAATTCAAGAAGGCGGGGGGGAACCTTGGCATAATGCCTTGGGATAGACGGCCCAAATTGTCCTTGGAAAGAACCAAAGAGAACTTAACTTGGGCAGTCATGGAATTTTGGGAGATGATCTGGGCTGAATCCTTTGGCTTGGATTTGACACTGGTAGACTAGACATGCTGACCTCGGTGGAAGCTTCCAACTCTCTTCTCCAGCTTGACTTCCAGGTCTGAAATGCAGGCAAAAATCACCATTGAATTTGGGTGGGTGGATATGAAGGATGAAAATGGGATCTAGAGGGGCAGATACTTCATGGTTGCTTATTCTTGATATCAACTATGGTTGCAAGCCCTAGTGGTTGGCTTCACACTCCACATCTCACATGGAAGTTGGGCTCTGTTTTGTGCCTTAAAGTGAAGGTACCCCTTCCACTAGAGCTTGCAACCATACTTGATATCAAGAAGAAGCAACCAGCAGCCTGCAGGAAGTATCTGCCTCTTGAGAGCCAATTTTCACCCTTCCTACCCACCCATCCACATACAAGTAGTCCGCGACTTTCAACAGTTCATTTAGTGACTGTTCAAAGTTACAACAGCACTAAAAAAAAGATTCATGACCATTTTTTGTGCTTATGACCTTTGCAGCATCCCCGTAGTCAGGTGATCAAAATTCAAAGACTTGGCAACTGGCTCATATTTATGACGATTGCAGTGCCCCCAGTCAGTTGATCACCTTTTGAGACTTTCCGGCAGGCAAAAGTCAATGGGGAAGCCAGGTTCACTTAACAACCAGGTTGCTAACTTAACAACTGCAGTGAGTCATTTAACATGTCAGGTTTCCTAAAAATGCCCTAATTGATTCCTGAGTCTCGAGCCAGGTTTCAATACAAAACTAGTCATTTGTTAGCCGCATTATTAGGCAAGGCCTTTCCACAGTCAGATCTAAGCTTTGTTTGAGTTATAGCTGAACTTTACCCCTGTTCCTTCCCTCTCCTCAGTCTGTGTCATAAATCACATTCTCCAATGAGGTGCACCCCTCCCAAGCCTGCTGTGATGATCTGAGATCCGACTTTAGCTGAAAGTATGTGTGGAATGCACGCTCCCCCCCCCCTTCTCTCACTATGGCAACATTAGGAGTTGACATTACAACTGTGGCAAGCAAGGGCATAAAATGGGGCAAAACTCACTTAACTGCTCTCTCACTTAGGAAGAGAACTTTTGGGCTCAATTGTGGACAGATGTCAAGGACCACCTGTACTCCAAAATGAGGAAAACCTCAACACAGTTCCTTGTTTTTTAAGGAAAAGCCATGGATCCCCTAGGAGGGCCAAGGTGAAAATAGGTCACCCTTAGCATGTTGTGAGAATTCACCCATGTGGAATCAACTGGAAGGGACCTTGGAGGTCTTCTAGTCTATCCCCCTGCTCAAGCAGGAGACCCTATATCATTTCAGACGAGCGATTCTCCAGTCTGTTCTTAAAAACCTCCAGTGATGAAGCACCCACAACTTCTGGAGGCAAGCTGTTCCACTTGCTAATTGTCCTCACTGTTATGAAGGTTGCTTCTCTCCTTGATTAGTTTCCATCCATTGTTTCTGGTCCTGCTCTCGGGTGCTTTGGAGAATAAGTTGACTCTCTCTTCTTTGTGGCAGCCCCTCAAATACTGGAAAATTGCTAGCATGTTACCCCTAGTCCTTCTTTTCTCTAGACTAGCCAAACCTAAATCCTGCAACGGTTCTTCATATGTTTTAGTCTCCAGGCTTTAAATCATCTTAGTTGCTCTTCTTTTCACTTTTCCTCCCAAAGTCTGACCATCTCTTTTGTAATGTGGTGACCAAAACTGATTGCAGTATTCCAGGTGTGGCCTTAATAAGATTTTATAAAGCGCTTCTAATACTTCATGTGATTTTGGATTCCATGCCTCTGTTTATACCACCAAGGATTATATATGCTTTTTGGGCTGCTGCCGAAAAAGCAAATACATTGTTAGCAGATTGGGTCAACCTGGTTATCAAACTGAGCCATGATTTGTTTTGCTGGTTCAGGCCATATGAAAACAGCAAGGGTTTGGAGTTAAATGTATTGTGTGAACTTAGGGGTTTGGGGAGTGGTGGGATTCAAATAATTTAACAACCGGTTCTCTGTCCTAATGATCAGCTGGGTGGGCAGAGCTCGGTGGTCATGTGATTGGGTGGGCGTGGCCAACTCAACATCACTCATGTCGATGGGCGCTTCATCTTAGCTGTGACAATGTAATCAGGGTTAAACGGAGAGGCAGTTTCTCTAAGCAGGGCAATAAAAATGAGGCTAGAAACAACACCAGAATGTTTCCTTCCTGCCTGCCTGCCTTACAGGATTAACCCTATAAAGTGGAAAAAAACAAATTGAGATTTCTTCCAACAACCGGTTCTCTGAACTGCTTAGAAAGTTAACAACCGATTCTTCCGAATAAGTGCAAACCGGCTGAATCCCACCACTGGGTTTGGGTTGTGTAAAGCTGTGTTTCTCAAGCTCGGCAACTTTTAAGTGTATGGACTTCAACTCCCAGAATTCTCCAGCTAGCAAGCAGGGCCATCCTCTTACAATGTAATGAGCAGGTAGGTCTTGGGAGAGGATGCAGGGTCTTTCGTTTTGAAATGTATCACTGGGAAAGGGCGCAAGTTAAGAGGTGTACAGTACTTTTGTTATATTTTATTGATTTTCTGGAAGAAAAATAACTTTCTGTATCTGTGATGAGATACCTGGGATATGGGCTATGTATTTATTTGTATAATAAGTTCTCTCTTTTTTTAAGGACAAGGAAAAAATCAGTGTAGCGTGTTTGTTTAGCATTAACCAAGACACATTTCAGCCTGGCTGGTTCTCTCTTTCATCCACTTTTCTGGAGACACATATTTATAACCATTATTTATATACATTGTTTTATCTCTTTTATAAATAAATAAACGTGAATTGTTCCAAATGGACTTTTTCTTTCATTTAATAGGGTTTTTTTTTTCCTGGAGTCCCTTTTCCTTTAAGAATGGGGGAAAGATCCAGACCTTCTCTGAGGAGGGGGGGGGAGAATAATAAAGAGTTTGCAAACTCTGGGCTGCAATCCTGATAACAGGTCATCAGATTGACTTGGAGTCGCCCCAGTAAAAAGCAGGATTTAAAGAAAAGTATTCACAGAGATGAGGGACGCGGTGGCTCAGTGGCTAAGATGCTCAGCTTGTTGATCAGAAAGGTTGGCAGTTTGGCAGTTTGAATCCCTAGCTCTGTGTAACAGAGTGAGCTCCCATTACTTCTCCCAGCTTCTGCCAACCTAGCAGTTCAAAAGCATGTGAAAATGCAAGTAGAAAAATAGGGACCACCTTTGGTGGGAAGGTAACAGTGTTCCGTGCGCCTTTGGCGTTTAGTCTTGCCGGCCACATGACCACAGAGACATCTTTGGACAGCACTGGCTCTTCTGCTTTGAAACGGAGATGAGCATCGCCCCCTAAAGTCGGGAACAACTAGCACATACAGTATTTGTAAAGGGAACCTTGACCTTTATTCACAGAGATTATTAGTGATCTAATCCTGGTGAGCCATTTCAAACTTCAAGCATGAGAATTATGTGGTTAAGAATGTCAGGATTCCAAGTAATACACTCATAGCAAACAAAACTCCAAGTCAGGTAGGTTCCTCAAAGAATAGTTTTATTGGCTATATTATATTGGCAAAGGCTAGGGAAAACTGACTCTGAATCTTCCCGTGGTTTTCACCTAATTAGAAGTTTCCTTCCTTTCTCAATCAGTCACATGGTCCAATCAAGGTGCCATCTGGTTGCCTGGTAACTTTACTCCTCCTCTCTGGCCACCTGTGGGAATGTCCTTGGTTCCCAGGATAAAGTATTTTGTTTTGGTATTTTGCTATTTCTATTCCTCCCTCACTATCCCTCAGCTCCAGTGTGGTACAGATTC